TGGGTTCGGCACACGAAACAACAAGTATCGCCGGGTTATTTAGTGCTGGTGTCCCATGTCCTGGGTGCTCCCTGGCTTGTGTGACTACAGTCCGAAACATGCCCTCCCTGGAAGCTCGTCATTCTTCTTAAAAACACCCCCATCCCCAAATATCTAAGATTCCCCATAAGAGACCTTGATGTCCTCCATTGGGAGTACACTCAAAATTAGAGATGGTGTGCGTTGAATAGTTTAATTGTTTAATATTACCCCCCCCCCATTCGCCACTGCCTCCAACATGCCACGACCTTATCAAGTTACTAATTGTCGTGGCACAAGGGGCAATTTTGCTGATTTGTGTGCGCACGCGCTGCGTCATAGTGCCCCGCCCCTTTTGTCCAAACGTGTGAGGAGTTCTGATGAAATCTTATCATTGGCGCATTAGTGCGAGGAGCATTCCCAGTAGTCCAAGCTTCCGGCCAGTAGTCCAAAGATCACTCCCACGAGCCCAAGCTGCGCCCCATTAGTCCAAGGTCGTGAGCAGTTCAAAGATTTGCAAATCTATCGTCACCCAATCCGATTACGCGAGCATCAATGCCCAAGCCATAACAGAGTCGATTCCTATTTCAGTGGCAACCGGGTGGAGTTGATGCTCTTATCTTAGTAGGAGGGGATGCTTGGGAAAAACAGTGGCTAAGCCCATCGCCGGTCTCCAAGCATAAAGGAAATCCTGTCCCGCCTTGAGTATCCTCAATCCTAAAACCTGAGAATGACCGTAATGAGCTTAGGGACTTAAAGTGATGAAGCCCTTCCTCCATCAACAGAAAGGACACTGCTCACAAGCAACAGCTCAGAATAGCTCAAAAGTATCTACAGTGCCTGATCATCACGATGTGTTTTTGTAGCAGGTTGGGGCTCATGACCTGGAATACCTCGAAAAAAACGGAGTGCAACGAATCCTTGAGTCAAGTTTCGTTGGCTAATCGATACTCCACATCTTCTATTTGATGTCGGACTTCGTCCATGCACTTGCCCAGGCGCTTGTCCATCGCTTTCAACCTGTCCTCGAAAATCCGCAGCCGCTCATCTACAGTATCACCTGGAGCTGCTTCAAACGCAGATGCGCATGTGGCCACCATGGAGCAAAACACCAAGAGATGCTACGAGTATGTGGGTGTTGAGATGTCACCGCTATGCCGCACTTAGATCTGTATGATGCCTGCGGCCCTCTGCTTGGTCACGCGGTAGTTTCATGTCGGGGGACTCTTGCTCTTACAGGACTACATTTGGCAGCTTTACCTATTATGGCGACCAAGATGCTTATCACAGTGATTCTGCGCGTGATACCGGCCATCTCCTGTCACAGAGGTGCCTTCCTGCACGAAGCCTCCGCAACTAAAGACTCTTGGAGAGGGCAAAGCCTTGTAACAAGCCCTGGACAAGAACAACATACAAAGGCACTAATTGAGCGTGCGATGGCACGGTTGATGGTTCCGGATCACAGGAGTCAACAACAGTGGTAAGATATGAGCACAAAGCACATCCGGATGAATGATCACGGTGTAGAAGCGACAGGGAACAATGACTTCATGCGAGTGGACATGAGAACAGACAAAATGGATGAATCAGCAGCCGAAGCAACACACATCCCAACATCAAGGTTGACAGGTCAGCCTGATGCAATGCCTCTCGGACAGCTTTGGTGGCCGAGGTGGCTGCCACAGCCTCCGCCTGAGCCGTGCATCACTTAAAACCTAGGCTTCAGACAGCTGCCTTGGTCCCTGATGAAGTGCAGCAAGCTGCTTGTTGCAGAAGCTCCCCATACTCTTTCTGCTGGATGGCCCGCGCTGCAGCTTCCAGTTCTCGCCGAACACTGTCTATGTTCATGTCCAGCAAGTTTCTGGAGACTTTCTGCTGCTGTTCTACCTGCGCCTGAGTCGATGCGATTAGCACGTTCTTGACACACGCCACATGCAAATTTGCAAAGCCAAAGAAAGAATCAATCAGCAGTCCCTTAGCCTGCCAGAATCCTTCTTCTAGCCCCCAAACATTTGGTACACAATAATAAGCCTTGTAAGGACATTGTAGTAGGAAACTCCAAAAGGTACCCCCTAATTTCCTGAAGCCCTCGATATGGCACTGCAATTCAGCAATTCCAAACTTCCTCCGACGGGCGGGCCTGGAAAGCCGTCAGAGCTTCTTCGAGAAAGTCAAGACGAGCATCAAATCCTTGAAGCTTTGAACACTCTCGTTTGTTGCTGCCAGTCTTGCAATTTGCCTTGCTGCTGATGATGCGCAAAGCTTTCTAGGATCATTTTGGTATCACTGCTCAGAACTCGCTGGAGGTCTGCGAACAAAGTTCGCAACTGTACGGAGCCAAGAACTCCTTCTGAACAATTTGTTCAAAGTGAGAGTCTTGGATCCAGGGCCCATGCATGTGCACAGCACCTACTCCGTTTTGCACAGAAGTTGGAGCAGCACCGAGAAAATTCTGAAAATGCCCCATGGCTGCAAAGGCCACATGGCACCATCTGTAGCGGCCCCTGCCCTTGCCCCACAAACACAGCACTTCTCTGAGAGTGATGTCATGGCTGTGGTGGAACCCATTGACAACAAGCTCGCGGCTGCATTAATCCAAAGTCCTTTGGCAACTGACCATCACCATGTGGTGAGCAAAGGGCTGTCTGGACCGCATGAGGCCTTTGCACAAGTTGTGCATATCTCCCGTGCGATTTGTAGCTGTGAGGGCTGTACAGAGCTTCAGACTTCAGCATATACCAACAGGGTTGATTACATGGGCCGCCTATCAATGAGAAATCTCTTCAACCGCTGCCTTAACATGCCTTAACGTTTTATCCATTGCTGAAGGCCAGAGCTTCTACAGCTACGCAAAAATGTCACCTCCAGATTGTTGAAAGCGACGGCAACGCCGAGAGGTGCGCTGTGACACCACTGCCTGAAGAGGGGACAGCTGCGTCTCAATTTGTGCTGGCCAGGCTGTACATGAAGCAAGGTCAGACGATGCTTTTCACTGCAGGTCAGGAGACAGAAGCATCGTTTGTTGATGGGTCAAACAGAGCGTGTCTTCAACTTGGAGCCGTGTCACTGTTATCGAAGCAGAAGTGGCAGCGTAAAAAAGGAGGTTATTAAATATCGCTGGCCTGACCTTTGGAAAAGCATCGCTTCAGAAGAAAGCGTGCAATTCAGCCGGTGAGCACGGAAGTCTGCGCTAAGGCCTGTGGGATATCACTTTTGGCGTACTCGTCAAAGGCCGGCCGAGGCTCCCTGTCAATGGTGACAAGGCCCCACCACTCTTCATTGAAGGTTTTGTCCGGGTAGGGGCCGCCACCAGGGGCAATTCCTCCGGTGTCTTGGACGCGAGGGCTTCCGCTGCCATCCTTCCACCATTCATCGGCAAACTCGAAGACAAAGCCGCCAATGCAAGCGCCACGGCCTAGGACAGAGGACTCGCTCAAGATCTCTTCCGTGAGCACCTTAGTAGCCTTTGCCTGAGCACTGCGGTCCTCGCGGTTGATCTGTGCATTAAAGGCATCAGCACCATACTCCCCCAAGTACATAGGCTTCTGGGAGACACGCTCATACTGATCGAACATGCTGCCAAAGCTGATGTCTCGATATGCGTTGATGCCCCATATGTCGACATGATCCCGGAGCAAGGCCTCAGCCTCATCAAACTTACCGACGACCTCTCCATAGATTGAAGAGATTGGGTGCATGGTGTCGATGCCCCTCACAACTTCAGCAACCTCCCTGATACGATTAACGCAGTCACGGAAGCTCATGCCCGTGTAAAGGCCATTGTAATTCCATTCATTCCCGATGGTCCACATGAGAATGGCTGGGTGATCCTTTGTCGCCCTCACCGGATCCCCTGCAGACCTGGCTGATGACCCACCAAAGTTGTAGACGCTGTTCACCACCCAAATGCCTTTGCTCCACAAGGTGTCTAGCACCTTAACATCTGTGATTGGCTCGTAGGTCCGAATTGCGTTGATGCCCATGCGCTGCATCAAGGCAGCATCCTGCTCAACAAACCCGGAGAAGTCCAGATCACGGGGGTACGAGCCTCCCTTGCCCACAGGGTTCCATGCAACACCCTTGATATGCAAGGGCTTGCCATTCACAACCAACTGCTTTCCAACAACCTGTATTCTCCTGTTCGGTGATGGTGTAGGCCGAGGGGTGGTAGGTGGAGGGGCAGGACATGAAGCAGGGGCATCCGGCAAGACACACTTGCACAACATGTCTGATGTGCCCGAGATGGCTTCCGTGCACGCCTTCGAAAACTTTATGTTGCAGTCTTCCGCGCTTTCCTCTGCTGCCATGACACACACATGCCCAAAGCTTTCGCAATACTTATCACAGCGACCACCGTATGGGGCAGTGAGCACAAGCGCCATGCAATCTTCACATGTGACACCGTTGTCCACATCAGGCCACTCGCTGAACGCATTACAGCATGCGCTTTCAATGCTTGCAGATGATGTGGTGGTCGTAGTGGTGGTCGTAGGTGTGGCAATCTGCGTGGTTGGAGGGGAAGGACAAGCAGCCGGGGCATTCGGCAAGACGCACTTGCACAACATGTCTGATGTGCCCGAGATGGCTTCCGTGCAAGCCCTTGTAAACTTTACATTGCAATCCTCTGCCCTTTCCTCTGCTGCCATGACACACACATGCCCAAAGCTTTCGCAGTACTTGTCACAGCGGCCACCATGCGGGGCAGTGAGCACAAGCGCCATGCAGTCTTCACATGTGACACCATTGTCCACATTGGGCCACTCGCTGAACGCATTGCAGCATGCCGCACCAACGCCTGCGGATGATGTAGTCGATGCAGTGATGGCACTCTCTGTGGTTTGAGGGGCAGGGGCAGGACACGAAGCAGGGGCATCCGGCAAGACACACTGGCACAACATGTCTGATGTGCCCGAGATGGCTTCCGTGCACGCCTTCGAAAACTTTACATTGCAGTCTTCCGCGCTTTCCTCTGCTGCCATGACACACACATGCCCAAAGCTTTCGCAATACTTATCACAGCGACCACCGTATGGGGCAGTGAGCACAAGCGCCATGCAATCTTCACATGTGACACCGTTGTCCACATTGGGCCACTCGCTGAACGCATTGCAGCATGCTGTGTCACTTGCACGCTCGAAAGCTGAACCGGCATGCGACTCCACAGCATCCTTCAGCTGTAGCCATGAACTCCCCATACTGCGAGGGCTGTGCGAGCACCGCGAGTCTTGCGATGAGCAGGTGCCCTGGACAGAGACATCTGACGCAATTGCACGTAGGACCGTGCAAAGGCAAAGAACTCCAAACAGCGGCATGGCTCGGAAGACTGCGGCGAGACTGATGCCAAAGCCTTGAACCTTGTAGCTTCTATACAAGATGCAATGTTGCAAGGATTGCGCAAGACAGCACAGTCAACATGCACGAAGGCCAAGAACATGTCCTCTTTAATTTCACAGCGAGACATGCTCATGGTATTCCATGACCAAACCGGTCAGAATCTCTGCTGTATGCTTTTGCAAGACCCAGCAGTGGATGCGGAAGTGTGATGAGGTGCTGCCAAGCTTCGTGCTGCAACATCTTGCCCTTCCAGGGCTGAGGTATTAGACAAATGCAGAGAAGGGGCGAACGTTAAAATTGAGAATCAGCCCTGGCATTTGGTAGCATGAAATGTTTTGAGGGACCGAGCGTAGAGGTTCATACATTTAGCCATCAGCGAATGCTGCCTTGTGATTACTGATTACTGCATGCACCACGTCCCTTTAGGATTCGGCTAACATTGTCAGTCATGGAAGAATGGTACATCCTAGAAGCTCTAGGCTCTAGTCTCAAAAATCCTCATGCGCAACCATTTTCGCATGAAATACCGGGGTGCTAGGAAACGTACATCTTGCTCGTGGTCTGCTGCCGCAACAATGACGACCTAAGCTTTTTGCAAGGAAGGCCTTGTGTTCTGCGTGACGTCTCTTCCCTGTGCGTCTTGACAAAGGCCATGGCGCACAGGAAAGTCTCCGAACAAAAAAGGGCTGCCCTTCTAGGCTGCAAACGTCAAGTTAATCTTGGGGTTGTCTAAGCTGAATGCGTGACCACGGCGTTAAAACAGTGTGCAAAGGTTGCAACTCCATCTTCGTACCTGGCTTGAGCCAATTCCATACCGATTCCCCGAAGGCATGGGCATGAAAACTGGCATGCACTTCGCCTTTGCAAACCTGCATGGATCATGATCGCGCTGGATTGCAAGAAGATGTCTGGGTCTGGGATGCTGGCCAGGCCTTCCTGGAAGAACTGGTCCCAAAGAAGTGCCTCCGCGAACAGCTGCAA